GGCTACTCGCGACGCCAGATGCGCCTTGGTGCAGGCCTGGATGGCGTCGCCCTCGGCTCGCAGCTTCGCCTGAACATCCAGAAGCGCCTGGTTCAGCGGGCCCGTGCCGCCTCCTCGCACCCACCCAACGGGCGCGGCACTCGTCGCCTCGGCGTCTGGGATGGCCGAGCTAGCGGCGCCGGTCTCCAGGGGGCGTGGCACCAAAGTCGCCTTCTCAAGGCAGCGACGCGTTGGCGAGGCGACTTGGAGGAGCAGCCTCGCCACAGACTCGTCCTCAGTCAGCGGCACCGGCGGGCCCGCCAGCTGTTTACCCTGCACGCTCCCGGATGGCGGCGGTGGCGGCACAGACGTGTCCTACATGGAGGCCTCGCCGCTCTCCCTCTCCATGACGGGGTTCTCACCGCCGGCCTCCTCAGTCTGCCCCGTGAACTCCGGGGGCGGTGGCGCGGAGTTCAGCGGGACGACGAGCAACGCCGATTGGAGGTGCGCGGCCTCCTTGGCTTGTTGCCCTGCCGCAATGGCGGCTTCGGCCTCATCCAGTTTCCTTTGGGCGGAGGCCGCCGCCTTTTCGGCCTCCGCCTTCTCTAGATGGGCGGCCTCGTCCTCATCGCGCTTCTCCCGCGCGTTCCGCTCTGTCGGCTCCCGGAGGTCGGCGGCGGGGTCAATCCGCCGAGTAGTGGCAAACGTCTCTGCCGACCCCATGACGGAGGCGGCGGCAACTCTCTCAAAAGTAAGGGGAGCCCTGAAGCAAGAAAGGCATGTAAATGATTTGGGTAAAATTCACTAGTAAAAGACAAGACAAAGGCGGAGGCACTTACGCAGAAACCAGTGGAGGCTTCTTCACTTCCTTACGGAAGCGGTTGGCCTTCGCGATCGCCTCTTCCCGCTTGGTCGCGGCGGTCGCCCCCTTGAACTTCTTCGACCGGCCGCCAAGCAAGCTCGGCCCGGCCCGGCGCCTCTTCGCACCGCCTTGACCATCCAAGCCGGCGGAGGAACTCCCACCCGGCTGGCCAACCCTTGGTTGGCGGTGCGGGACGACTTCCCCCTCGGCGTCATCATCAGGCCAGTCGGCAAAGGTGGCCGATGGCCTGAAGCCTCCTCCTCCTCCTCCTCCTCCGCCTCCTTCGGAGTCAGCCTCCATCGCCGCCGCCCCCAAGTCAGGGTCGTCGACATCGCTCTCCGCCCGGTCGGAGACGAACTAACAGGCCGGGCCCGAGGTACTGGCTGAGGGCTGGATGAGGGGGTTCTGACTCAAGAAAAAAAAAGATCAGAAGTCGAATTCGGCTGCAAAAAAAGACAGAAGAAAAAGAAAGACGACTTACAGCAGGCGAGGGGTTGGCGCGCGAGTACGGCTCCTTGCCGAACCGCCAATCCGCCATGAGACTGAAGTTCGCGATGTAGTTCACTGTGTCTGCCACCTCTGCGTGGGGCATGTCCTTGGAGCACAGCCGACTCGGATCCCGGTGGCCGCTCATCAGACAGATCAGATGAGGTCGGCCTTGGAGCGGGAGGACTCGGCGCACCACGAAGGCGGCCAGCAAGTCGGACCCGGTCAAACCCTTCGACTGCGTCAGCACTCGGAGTCGCGCGACGGCGGCGCCGCCAGTAGGAGTCAGCGTCTTGACTCGGTGGGACCAGCTAGGGAGCCTCCCAGCCCGAGCGCCGGCTTCGTAAGGCGGCAGATTGACCCAGTCGCCGTATGGAGTGACGTTCTTCATGTAAAAATATGACCGCTGCCACATCTTCACCGACTTGATCAGCGGAATGGTGGGGAATGGGTTGTCAGCCGTCGATCTCTGCATCGCGATGAAGGCACCACACTGGGCCGGCTCGCCGGCGACGTGCGTGCCGAGCTTGGACTGGAAGAATTCCCCCCACAACTCGATGGTGGGGAGAACACCGAGGAAGCCTTCGCACGGGGTGGCGAAGGCAGCCAGCAGCACCACCGTGTTCGGAGTGAGGTGGTGCGGCTGGTATCCGTGGAACTCCAAGAAGGAGCGGAAGAAGCCGCTCGCCGGCAGCCCCAGGCCGCGCATGAGGTGCGAGCGAAATACGACCCGCTCGCCCTCCTCTGGCGCCGGCGATATTTCACTCTCCAGCGTGGCACGGGCTCGCACTAGGTCTGCACCGGGGAGGCGACGCGTCCTGCGGAGGAACTCGATATGGTCGTCGTCCACCTCGGAGCCGTCCCACACGCCGGAGCGCACAACGGGAGGCGCGGCGGCAGAGGAAGAGCTCATCGCTGCGAGCGTGGCATGGTTCGGTGCGGCGGTAGCAAGAGGAAGAAGAAGCAAGAAGAAAGCAAGGGGAGTAGGGAAGATGGGCACGCGTGCTTCGCCGCCCCCTTCCTCCCGCCTACTTATAGGCTCATGGCTGAGAAGCCGATGGGGCGGGCGTGGGATTAACTATGCCCAGGCCCCCATGCCCCCCATGATTTACCACGCGAAGTAACTGCGTGCAGTTACGACGTGGGAAACCCAACCATCCGCGCGGCCGCAACCAATCCGTTCGCGTGCCGAGGGACGGTAGTGGCGGGCCCCGCCTAAGGTCCTGTCCCATCACGCGCGTGGGTGGGCAGACTGACCCCGCCACATGGCGCCACGCGACAGACCTGCAATGGGCGGCTGCCCGGAAGCTTATCAGGCACGCTGCCTGGACCCCGCTGCGACATTCAAGCTCTCTAAGAGGCCAGACGGCTTTCTGCGAGTCTGATTCCAGCTAGTCGGCCTGGAGGAAGACGGCGGGCAAGGACCAGATTCCACCAGAAGGAAGAAACTGTTGAGACTCCTCGACATATCACGCTCGGCGTCTCACCAGTTTCAGGGACCACTGTCGGAGTAATGGGCCACGGGTAGGCTAACCCGAGCCCTAGAACCTTTCAAAACATCGGGGCAGACTGCGCCCCTCAAGACTCCGCGATAAGGAGCCGCCTCCTGGGAGTCGGCGGCAAGGCCGCCGACTGTCCCTCACTGCCGAGTCCCAGGGACGACTTCAAGATAAGCCGACTCCTGCCGACGGCTTCGAGATAAGCCTACTATGGGAGTCGACCCGCAACTCCGACCGCCCCTGCCTTCGCCACGATGGACGGGGCGGGGTACGGTCACTGCGTGGCCGTCCCTGCCCCGCTTATGAAGGGCTGGCATGGCTACAGTGCGCCGTATCGCTAGAGATCTCCTTCGTGGCGCGGCACTGTTGCCATGCCCGCCCTGACCTCAGCCCCCGTGGGCGGCGCACTGTGCCCACGACGGCTTACCTGTATGGCCCAGAGACGGCGGGACCCGCCCGTCAGCGGGGGTACAGAAGACGGCGTGAGCACCACAAAGCCGGACCCATGGGAGTTGGCCCCCTGGAGTCGGCCGGCCCCTCCCATGGGCCCCGCACGCCATTAACCAAACAAGACGGGGAATGGCGACAGTGATCGTCTGCCAGGCGGCGGCACTGTTGCCACGACCCCATGACCAAGCCCGCGTTATTGGAAGCACGACTACAGTATCAGGCCTGTCGGCGGGGCCCGCCAGTCGGCGGGCCCCAGCAGTCGGCAGAGAAGACGACGACCTAAGAGACAGACGGCTGGGACCCGCGCCTAGCCGGATTACCATTTTATCCCTGGGGGGCAGGCCCATATAAGCCCTCTGGGGCACCCATGCATGGGGGATCGCTCCTATTAGACTAGACCAGATCATATAGGAAGGAGGGAGCTAGCCTCACCTTCTCCTACCTCCAGAAAACGGCTCAAGGAGCAACCTTGTACTCACTTTGCCATAGTGATCATGCGGGGACCCCGCAGAGCAGCAGTAGGGGTGTTATCTCCACAGAGAGCCCTGAAGCTGGGTAAGATTCGCCGGCGTGCATGCCTTCGCCTCATCCCGTTTCCAGGCACCAGCGACGTTCTACTCGCCCCCACCATGATAAGCCATCCTTTGGCATATGTCGCATCCAACCCCCGACAAATTCATAGCCAGATCTTGAGAAATGATTTTGAATGTCCTACACATATGTTTGTTTCACCTTTTTATAAATTGATTTTCCTAGGCAACTTTAACAAATAGCCGCCATGTTATTATCGCAAACGGTCGTATTAGTCCAACTGTGGGCGTTGAACTAACCATTTACTAGGCATAACTAAGGATTGGTCCACATGATGCACTCTTTTAATTATTGCTATTCACATTTCCTTGCAACTCCACCATCACAAATCACTACACCATTATGCCTTTTAGCACTTAGGGGATGGCTTTGTCATTTATCAACAAAACAAGTAGGGTATAAATACACATGCACATTCAGTTTCTTAAAAAATTAACCAATGCATTAAAAAAATCAAAGTGGAAGTAAGAGTTCATAGGGGGGATAGAAATCTCTCTGCATTAGTGCATGCCCAAATTTTGTTTCCAAATAAAATACACATATGTAATCAAATCCACAATAACACATCTAGGCAAATATCCATAATTAAACAAAATAGTTTATTCCACATAGGTTAAAAACATGCATGATGTATTGTACACACTACCAGGTATTTTACAACACATGGAAATGTAGCCACATATACACCGTCGGGTGGTGCATACACAAGGCATTACACATACACACAATACTAGCACAAGAGAAGCAAGCCAAGCAAGACAATGCTTACAAACTCTCTTGTGATCATGCTAAAAAATAAAATGAGCTACAAACCAATACAGATGTTGGTATATATCAACTGATCTTCCGGTGGATGATTATTTTATGCATGCACACATGTATATGTTCTCGCGGGCATATGATCATCAGTAGTTCCACATGCCATCCATTCCCATGTTCATCGATGAGATCTCGTCGGAGGTTGTTGTGCCACCATTACCCTGGTTGTTGTTGCTCAACCAGATCACATCATCCTCATGAGACACTATGGATGATGAAAAGCTCCCAGGATCGACCCCAACCATGAAGCCCTGGTCTACACTCATCTCCATCATGTGCTGTTGCTGGTGTTGGTTGTAGAATGACATCGATGACTATGGCAAGGCCATCATTTGTTGGTAGTGGTTCCCAAAGTAGTGGTTGTTCATCACTGGAAGCACCGCACTGCCCATCACAAATGATCCGGCCTCAAAGGTATGCGGCTGGTCCAAAGAAGTTGTAGGCAACAGAGGCGACGATGCCAGTGACGATAACATGTCGTAGTCCATGAGAGGATCCAATGTAGTGGATTCAAGGAAGCCCTGTTGTTGCTCTCCCCCCATGGACACGGGAATGGACATGTCATATGATGGCATCATCACCTTCTTCAGTCCAGTGCTCTTAAGGAAGATTCTACAAATCACATACTCCCCCTACCAACACAGATAAACTAAATTAGTGCAAATCAACAATGGTTAGTAGCTAGATATGCATATACAGGCATATTCATGAGTCATGAGTACTAAGAGTTAAGGTTTAAAAATACCTTGGAAGATGCGTTAATGGTGGTGGCTTTGACGATGTCAGTGGGCAAGTTGGGTGTGGGTTGCTTGCCGCTCTCGAGTCTGTACTCGTGCATGATCCAGTTTGTCTTCTCCCCCTTGGGGGCCCTTCCCTTGTAGAAGACGAGCGTCTTCTTCATGCCGATGATACTCATGGTCGGTGGGTGGACTATCTCCTTGTCCTTTCCTGTGGCCTTCCAATAGCCAGCCTTCGTGGCCCGGTTGGTCCGTATCTCGGTGGAGTACTTGAGATCCTTCTGGGAGAAGAAGTATCGCCCCTTATCACCCATGCTTACCTTCTTTAGGAGATCCCATGGCTCACATTTGTTCAAGTCCACCTCCCCGACCACCATGGTGTTGAAGACTTTCTTTAACACCTTGGGGACCAGGTAGAAGGTGATGATCTCCATGTCCGTCGGTTGAAACCTGAACCCTGGTGGTAGATTCAGTAGTTTTTGTTGCTCTTGAACTTGAAGGTGGTCTGCCATGGCAGAGGCTCTTTGGGAAATGGGTGCTGGGGTGGAACAAATATTAGGGGCAATGATGGATATGTGTGTATCTATGGAAGGAATTCAATGATATCTAGGGATATGAGAGGGAGGTGCATAAATAGTAGCTAATGCGTGTACTGGCAAGACACTTGCGGGAGAAGCCTTGGTGTTTTCCAGGCTTTGCTTATTTTGTTCTTACTAGCAGCAGATGGATGGACGTGAGCTAGCTAGATAGATAGAGATAGCTGGCTATCCTTTACAACTGTGTGCTTCTTATCTTGCTGTGGGCGGTATGCCCAGGTGGTGACAGGTGCTAGGTTTCACGAAACTCTCCAAGCCATGCCATGCCAAACTAAACACTTTTGGTTTGTTCCCATTCTTGTTAATGTATCCATATGCGCTGATCATGCTATGCTCGGCTCTATTGCTAATGTTTGGCTTTGCGATGCAAAACAAACATAGGTTGTTTTCTATGTATCATGTGTATGCTTCCACTGTATGCATTCATATTTATATACAAGAAGGTGAATTCGGTTGGTTTACATATTCCAACCTATGCATTCATATACTATATATAGCCTCAGTTGCTTAGACTTACCCACTTTACCATGTGTCATGTACCGGTGTAGCTGGCATAGATTGTCTATATTCTCTCTATATATTTTAATATTATTTTGTAACTACCATTTCAATAGTAATTCAAACACTTTATAATTGCAATGGTTGTAATCCTAATGTCCACTTTTCAAATGGCTATATTTCGGGCACTCGTGCCAAGACACCTAAGCTCTAATGTGGAGAAAACTCTCATATCCTACCATCTACAAACAATTGACACATGCATCATTTATCATCAACAAAGATAAATACTACCTCCCTTTCAAAATAATTAAAGTTTTGAGTTTATTGCAAGTGAAACTTGTTTAAGTTTGACCAAGTTTATAGAAAAATATATTAACATCTAGAAGACCAAGTTAGTCTCATGAGATATTTTATGAAATATAGTCATACTAAGTATTCGGTGTTGTAGATCTTAGCACATTTTTCTATAGATTTGGTCAAAATGACTTATAACAAACCTAAACTTCAAGGCCCCGATTGGTTGCAGAGTATTTTTGTAGTATTGTTGCAAGACCATGGTTTCTAGAAAAACAGTAGTCTAAAATGTTTTGAGGTGTTTGGATAAAAGAAATATCACAACCTTACAAACTATGGTTTTACCAAAACTCTAGGCCTAGTTTGGCAACATTTTTCTTTCTCAAAACCGTAGTAATCTAAACCCGTAGTATTCAATTACCTACACTACAAAAAAATACACTTCGTGATGATACGTGTTTGTCACAGTAGGTCGCGTTTTCTGTCATGCATGTACATCCATGACAAATTTATGACAGAATCAAGATAGTCATACCTGTACTGTCGTAGAAGTGTTCCATGACATTACCAAAATTATCATCACGGAAGTGTCCACTTCCATGACGATAAATCGCGCGTCACAGAAGTGCTTTCATCAAGGGTGACCGACATGTGGCATCCACCCTAACGGAACACCGTTAAGCTATCGGGTCGGGTTTTGGATCCGATAACCCGTTAACAGCCCCGACCAATGGGGATTTTCCACGTGTAAAATCATCATTGGCTGGAGGAAACACGTGTCGGCTCATCGCTGGGACAGATGCCATCCACTCATTGGGTAGAAGGTGCCTATGATACATCGACACGTGGCACGGCCCAACAGAGGCCCATTCCTGTGAAAAGGCCGGCCTGTTTGACTTGGTCAAAAGGTAGCGGGGCGGCCCATGGAAAGCCTATTAACGGCCTGTTCGCATATAGCCCATTTACAGCCCGCGAACCCAAGGCCCATTACCCCTATTTGAATTAGGCCCAGTAGCGTCATCTGGGCCATCCAATATGATTCCAGCCCATTTTCACTTCTGGCCCATGTATGGCCCATGACGTCTTTCAGCCCATATGAGGCCCTACGTAACTCTTGGCCTATTAACGGCCCGTGGTGAAACTGGCCCGTAATCAACAGTGTATCACTTTACACCCATTAACGGCCCGTGGTGAAACTGACCCATAAAGAACAGTGTATCACTTTATACCCATTAACGGCCCGTTATTCCGGTGGGCCGTTTCCAGCCCATGTTATCTTTCAGCCTTCTCAGAGCCCATTTATTCTTGGGCTCATTTCCAGCATTCGTTTACTTACGGCCCGTTACTGTCATTTTCTGCTTGTGGGCCAAATTCAGCCCGTGGTTACAGTCGGCCCGTTTGTGGTCCGTTAATACATTGGGCCGTTTTCATAGCATCATCAAATACGACCTATTAACGATGGCCTGTTATGGTCGGCCCATGAACGGGCGATTCCAACTCTAGCCCGTTTATGGCCTGAATGCGGTCTGTTTGGCCCATGTTTGGCCAATCGATCATACGGCCCGTATAAGGCCCATTGATGATACGGCCCATAGAAGGCCCATTATTTCTACAGCCCGTAGAAGGCCCACTGTTTCTACGGCCCGTAGAAGGCCCACTACTTCTACGGCCCGTAGAAGGCCCACTACTTATATGGCTCGTAGAAGGCCCACTTTTTCTACGGCCCGTAGGAGGCGCAGTGTCACTACAGTAAATATTAGCCCATGGTTATTATGGCCTAGTTTTAAAAAATAGGTTATTGCAGCCACTAGCAAACCGCAGAAAAAGAATTGCACTGACCACAAGCAAACAAATAAACAATACAACAAGGAAATAAATAAGCAAGCAACTTACACTAGGCTATCACTGCTATTACACATATTACATCCACTGGGCATCAAAGTTCACCACCAGTGCAAATATAGGGAACACAGCAGCATATAAATGCCGCAGCAAAACAAGTCCAGAACTGAAACCACTTCAGAAGAGCTCAAGAAACAATATCCTGGGTACCCATAATGCTGGCAAGATGCTTAGCAAGCTTATTAACTTTCTCTTGTTTGGCGCTTAAGTCCTCCAGCGCTTGTTGTTGCACTAGAAAGTATGCATCTGAATTCTGCAGGGACTTCCTCAGTCCTTCGGCTTCCTGTCGCATAACATCTGATCGATGTCTTTCAACTTGAAGTTGAGACTCAAGAAGCCGAACTGATTCATGCAAAGAGTTCGAAGAGCTGGTGCCAGCAGTGGTAGCCAGTAACTCGAACACTACATCAAGACAGGACTTTGGGGTTGTCTCAGTGTCTTCAATATAGTTTTTATCAGCTTTCTTGGAGACCAACAAGGCTGTCTTACTATCTTGAACCTTATCTGCATTACTTCCTTTACCATTGCATAACAGGGTACTCTTCTCCAATATTTTATCTGTGTTCTAAAAGAGAAACAAACAAACACATCTCAGGTTTACAATGTAGTATATGAAACTCATTTTGGTAAACCAGTTCAGTAATAAGGTGGACATGATAACAGCATGAAACAAACATATATCTATGTAGTATGGTCACTGTATGGTCTATATCATTCTAGTTTATGTTGCCAAATCAAGATAGATACAGTTCGAATCATATCTATTTAAGACAAAGCAGCATAGACAGAATATAAGTGTGGGAAACTACACAGCAATAACAACACTTGTAATGTGCATGGCATGAGAACATAACTCTTTATTCAATTGAAACTAAAATCAACATAGAGCAAGTTACAACAGCAAACAGCCAAACACGTTGAAGAAACAGGTTTAAAACATACCTGTTGTGCCATTGGAGTTTCAATTGCATCCTTGAAATTTGAAATTAGTTGGTATCAGTAAATACAGTGATGCAAGAGCAAAGTAGTATTAACCATAGCTACAGAACCTCACCTGAGAACAATTCTTCTTCTGCTTTAAGCGTTGACTTCGGGTTCGGAGTGGTGGTCCTCGTGATTTGGGCACTGCAGTTGCCTTACTAACTGCTTATGTTTGGGTGCTCTGTGGTGGAGACGGTGCTGTGTCAACGGGAACTGGGTGTCTATCTGCTGGGGTTGGGGTTAGAAGGGGTGTAGCTGGTTCTCTGTCCAACAAGGTAGGGGTACAATCTGCATGAGTGTGGGTTATGTGTGGTGGGGCTGGTTCTTGGGCAAGTACAACTATGGTTCTATCTGCATCGGCAGGTAGCACGATCTTTTCTGAAGACCGTGTTTTTACTCCCACGGATACTGCCATCACTCCTTCCAATTGAAATGGCTGATAAACAAGAAAAGTAATTGAATGTACAACATTGTAAGATAGACAGGCGCAATGGATAGTAGGGAAGAAAACAGGGCATGAAATAATTCACATTTATGTTGTCTAAGCAAACAGAATAGCAGGACATAATTTCACATATATGATGGCTAATTAAATAGGATAGCATGACACAATTTCACATGTATGATGGTTAACTAAACAGGATAGAATGACATACTTCAAACTATGATCACTATGTAAACAGGATGACATGATATAACTATATGATGTGTCTATTAAAGTGGTTGGCATGCCATAAATCACAAACATGCCGTCGATGGAAACATGATGGCATGATATAATTCACGGATAGAATGACATAATTTAAAATATGATGACTATGTAAACATGATGAGATGATATAACTATATTATGTCTTTAGAAACTGGGTTGGCATGCCATAATTCAGATACATGCTGTCTATGTAAACATCATGGCATGACATAATTGAAATATATGATTTATATATGAAGGAAGTGAGCAGAGGGCAATCGCATATATGATGTGTCAACTAAGGAGATGGCATTCAATATTGTGTATATGATGTAAAAACTAAGCATTGCAATACAACATATGCATTATATGAGTAATATAACCCTGCCAAGTTTGAGCATACACCTCAGGGGGATAATAGGACTGGTCATCTGCCTCTGAATCCTCCTCTGAAGAGCTATCTGTAACCAGCAAGATATCTGCTTCAGTAGGTAGCATTGTCTGCTCTAAAGACCTTGTTTTCACTCCAGATTTCTCCATCACCAAT